AGGGGAGGTAGTTGGTATGTGGTTGAGGGGTAGCTGTTACTGTGTATGTACTCACCTATTTGTACTCACCTATTTGTGGTTGCAGGGGTCGAGTCATAGCTCCTGACCCCGCCTCTTCGCTGATTGCTACTAGGTCCTCTCTCTCCCTGCCCTATGAGCTTTATCATACCTCGCCTTAAAACTATGTATGGTTCCCACCTCCACTACGTAACTTTCTAGGCTATTCCATGGTCTGACTACTCTATGACTGAAGAAATACTTCCTAACATCCCTTTGATTCATCTGAGTCTTCAACTTCCAATTGTGACCTCTTGTGCCTGTGTCCCTTCTCTGGAACATCCCGTCTTTGTCCACCTTGTCTATTCCATGCAGTATTTTATATGTCGTTATCATGTCTTCCCTGACCCTCCTGTCCTCCAGTGTCGTCAGGCCCGTTTTCCCCCTAAACCTTTCTTCGTAGGATAATCTCCGTAGCTCGGGACTAGTCTTTTGAAACCCTTTTGCATTTTCTCTAGTTTCTTGACGTGCTTGATAGGTGTGGTTTCCCAAAACTGGTGCTGCATACCCGTATGGCCGGGGTAAATTTAAAAAAGGTTTTGAACAAATCCTTATGGGGGATCGGAATGCAACCCGTGGGTTTTCAAAGGGCCTATCTGCGCAGTTACGATTGTTTTGGGCCTCAGGGGATTCGGGGGTGTTATACTCACCCCAATCTTTTTCCTTGAGTGGGTTTTGCAGTCTTTGGCCATCTAAAAAATTTTTCGCAGTCTTTTTCCCCCTTTCCCCAATTTTTTTCATGACTTGCATTTGGCAGGGTTAAACTCAAGGAGCCATTTGTGGACCAGACTTTAGCCTGTCCAGGCTCTTTGTAGTCCTGCCTGACCCCATCCATTTTGATTCTTCTCATTAATTCCATCATCTGCAAACGAAAACTTCTGAGTCTACCCCTTCCGTTTGTCGTTCAAAATATACCAAAGAACACACAGGTCCTAGGACTGACCCTAGGGGAACGCCGTTTTCACAGGTGCCCCCTCTACACCTCGCACGTACCATGATCGTTGGTGCCCCCTTCAGGTTTTCCCCTGATCCATTGCAGGCCTTTCCGTTAGTTCCCTGATCCTCTACTTTTGCAGTAACCTTTTTGGGGGTTGTGTGTGTGTATGTCCCCTTTTCTAAGTACCATAGTAATAAAACCATAGTAATACCAGTAATTCTAAAACTTACCAAATAATTTTTAACACTTATCAATTCTACTTTAAATGGGGAAAATTAGCTAAGTTAAAAATTAACCTCTCTCAACTTTTTTACAAGTGTCTACCCTTTTGTGTGTGTGATTTTTACCCCCCCCAGATGTTTTCCCTCCCTCACACTCTCATAAACCCCTGTCCCACCTTTTTCTATGCTTTTTCTACTCAAATTTGGGTAAAGTTTTGCAGGAGTGAGTACCCCAGTACTAACAGTGATGTAGAAACAATCTTACAAGTTGCAACCACAGTAGGTGAGGTACTTGTGGGGCCGGGGGGCGATGATAATTGCCAATACGTGACATGTTGTGGGCCTGTATAACTTTTTAAAATTTTTCACCCAGATGTTTATAATCTTAGTCATATGCCTGTGTTCCCAAAGTTACTCATTTTTACTTATATAGAATCCCTTAATTTTCTGGGCTACATTTTATATTTAAAGGGCCCAACACCTGTTTGTTTCCCACTGCTTCAGCGGGCCCTACTCCTGACCTTCCTTGTTATATTTTTTATTTTTCCTTTCTCCTTTTCTTATTAACTTTTTTTACTTCATATATTGCCCCCCCAAATTTACTTTTTAAACCAAACTTCTTTTGAAACCCCCCCGCTTCCACACTCGCTTTGATCTTTGTATTTTGAACGGTGGCAACAGGTTCCAAAAAGGGGGCCCTAACTGTTTGGGGCTTTGAAATATTTATGATTTTTGGGGTTCCCCTCGACTTTTTTTTTAAATAAAAATTTGGTTATAGTCTAGAGTTGCTCATGACGTTGTCACACCACTGGTTACTGCTAGCATTTTCTGTTCACCTTAAAAATACTAAAATTTCGAGCCTTTTTTGCCCCCCGGCTGTGGGTCGGCTCTCTGTGTGTGTGGTTTGTGGTCTGTCTGATGGGAGGGGAGTGAGGGTTTTTGTAAGGGGGTGTAAAGGAAGGGAAGTGATTTATGTTGGGGTGTGATGGGTGGATTTGTGTGTAAAGGGAAGGGGGGAATTGAGTGTGCAGAAGGGGGGTGGGATTCTTTGTATTGGACCTGGATCACTGGGGTTTTTGGTGATCCCCCCTCCTGAGTCCCAGAGGGTGGCTTTTGACCTTGGAGACGAGTTACCTCGAGGCTGCTTGTCGAAGGGGTTATAACTTGGTGGGGCTTCCGTCACCATTTCTTTTGTTTGCAGAGGTGGCTCATGGATTGAAGATGCTATCCTGGATTCGTGGGTTTTCCCGCACGTAGGGTAGGGGAGGCACAGGTTCCTGTAAAACCCCTTTACCCGGGCCCCACCGGGGTCCCCCTTGGACAAGAAGGGGATAACAATCATTTTCATTTCTTTTTTAAAATTTAAAAAAAAATCATATCATGGAGTCCCATGTCCATGGAATCTTATCCTGCGGATCTTCCCAAAGACCCTGAAAAGTCAATGGGCCATTCTTTTTATCCCCCAAAAAAACCTCCACTTTCCTCTTATTAGGAGATTTTAATGCTCATCATTTCATCTTGGGTGGATGCTCCTGTGACTCTTGAAGGTCAGTTAATGGATTTTCTCGCTTCATTTTCCCTTCCTCTTTTAATCCTAGAATAGTCACTTATACATACTACTAAATCTAACTAATGTATAAAATCACTTGGTTCTGTGCCAGAACTACCTGGAATTCATTACCTTTGTAACTTGTTCAGCTATCATAACTTTGGGGCAAGGTGCCTGGTTCCCATTATGTACCTCTGTAGTCAATATTTTGACTATGGATATGGGGTGCATAATAAAGATATTAAATTATCTTAGTGAAAAGGAAAAGTGGGGTATTGATGGAAAAAACAACCTGGAAGGTCGATGTTTGAAGCAGCGACAACATTGCAGCTCTGCACTCACAGGAATGAAGTGGGCAGTGTTGAGGCAGGGGAAGACATAGTTGACTAGTTCCACTATTCAGGGACGAGGTTCTCTTGACAACACAGGAAAAGAAAGAAAAGTAGAAAGAGAAATTAGGCTGAAATTGGCAGGAGCCACACAAAACATGTAGATGTCAAGCCTACAGATGGCGCTGGTATGCGATGTAGATGAAACGAAGGCTGGGAAATTCAGGCACCAGATTTCCGCTCTGCCAGAGAAACGGGAAGAAAAAAATAAGCTCTATTAGAGACTTAGAACCCTTACACAGATTTCACCACTGATATCTATAAATATTGTGCTTTGTCTCTCGTGCCAAAACATTTCGCCTAATGAATGTTGTCAATGTGTTTTTGTTTTATTCCTCAGTCTGTCTGTATTGGTATATTGTGTAAAATTAACAACAATAACCATATTCTTATCTCTAGTGGCCCCTGATGGAACAGTCTTTATGACCAACACACATATGTCAGGCAGCTCAGCACAAGAATTTGTTGTCTCTGACGTTGTTTCCTGGACCTTCTACATTTACAGCTTCCAACGTTTTCTACCCACGATCTTCAGTTTCTTGCTGCTGATCTCATCGTAGCTATTGGTCTTCCGTTCCTTGTTCCGGGAATGACTCCTACTCACTTTTCTAAGATGCAAAATGTTCTTTCCAGCCTCGTTTAGCTCCACGTTAACCAGAAAGCATCATTACTAATAGTTAAGATTAACTATCATTTCCATTTCAGTAGGCCAAGAGGAATTTGAAGCTTCCTCGGAAGATGAAGATCTCGTCTTCCTAGTTAAAGTTCTGATGTGTAGTCATTCAAGAATCCTTCGTCTCTGGGTGTTTTCTTTCTTGACAATGAGGTGTGCATGTCTACTAATTAACCAACTGATTGTTGGAGCTTCCATGTGAAACACAGGCATTATTCAAGTAGTTTATTCTGCTGGTATATTGATGTGTGTAGGTCTCTGGATGTTTCTTCATAAGTTTGTGGTCATAATCGTTGCACATCGGAATTGAGGAAAACTGCCATAGAAATATTGGCCTATTAAGCAAGTTCGTCTCACATCCAAACATTTTTAATAATATTTTTGTACCGGACTCATCACCTTACTATGATCCCAATATAGAAGCTTATTCTACTTCTCCAGGTTTATTTCTTCTACTTGCTGAAGTTCACTGTTTGTGCCAACTGTCCCAAGTAAACCATTATGTTACACTGCATTACTGTCTTTTTTCCCAAGTTCTACATATGCTACAAGTGTGAAATTTCACAACTTCTTTCCTTCCCCAGCAGACTCACGTCTTCAACAGTAATTTCATAACTTCTTTCCTTCCCCAGCAGACTCACGTCTTCAACAGTAATTTCATAACTTCTTTCCTTCCCCAGCAGACTCACGTCTTCAACAGTAATTTCATAACTTCTTTCCTTTCTCACAAATTCATTTGTCTAAAAAACTCACGTCTTCAACGTAATTTACCAAAATACTTTCCATAGTTTACAAATTGTGTAGTTTTGTATCTTTTATAAAAATAACTCTATTTAATTATTAATTTAAGCTCAATAAATGTAGATTATTAATAATGTAGAAGACTACTGTTTTTAAAACCTGAGAAAACTGGGAAAAACTACTAACACCTTCATTAATAAAAGTGAATTCTTTAGGACGTCTTTAGAAGATTAAATAGACAAATTTATGTTGTCATGTCATTTTTCAGCATTATGGATCAATAGTTTCAATCCTCTTATGGTATATTCATAGGAATGTTTCCTTTGTCAAAAATTAACTCAGCTCTTCCTCTTTTATTTTGTCATAATATTTTCATTTTTTAATATGAAGAGCAGTTGAGAAGCATATTAATTAATACAATATATTTTGACAGTAATATTGATGCCCTGGAGCCCTCTGAAGGAATGATGAACATCCTCAAAAACACTGGAGTTTACACTGTCAAGTATCAGGAATTTATTGGCCTGGGACAGAGCACAGTTCCTAAAGGTGAGATTAAGGTTAGGAAGAGGTTGGACATACCTACCATTAATGAGACATTATACTTTATTTATCCTACACATGTTTTGCAAAATAATGATTTTATCAATTGAATATTGAGAATGAATGGTGACGCTACAAAATAATTTGTGATTATGAGTCCCTCAGCTTTGATAGAAAGAGTTCCGTCTCCCAGCCTTTGTAAATGTAAAGGTGAGCAGTTGTAGATGGAGTTACAGGTAGTGCAAATAGGTCATATCAGTATGAAATATAACTAAAAATCATGAGAAAGAAGTCCGTAGAAGGGCGTGGAGGAGGAAGTCAGTGCGTAAGCAAGGACAAGGTCACTATGTACACCTCTCATACACACGTACCGCTGACACCAACAAGTACACGCCAACTGATCCGTACAATGACTAAATTTTCCACTATGATTCCGTAAGATATTATCATAGTCTCGTCTGACCTTTTTTGCAATATCTCATTAAATATTCTGCTTATCTGGCACATGTTGACTTTCATAAGAAGAAAGATCTGTGCTGGAATATTGAATGTTGCTGTGTCAGACACAAATTATTATGTGTCTCTGAAGGAAGACCTTGAAGTGCTTGCCTGATTTTGTTTTTTTTCCTCCCTCAAACTTTTTTATTTTATTTCGTTAATAAGGCAAGATTAGTTACAAAGCTAGTGAACGATAACTTGGGCAACATTGGTGCAACTACTGATATTAACATCTGCCGTATAAACAAAGTTATATAACTTATTCCAGGATTCCTGGAGTGACTGATAATTTTGAAAAGCCGCTGCTGTTTGGCATCAACATTGATAAAAGGGCACCTTGTACTCTGATGATTGTTGAGAGTTAAATTGAAGAGTGTAAGTGAACTTTAGTCAAATTTATATTTTAAATAGTATTTCTTCGCCTTTTTATTTGGACTGCATAGTTCTCAATGGGTCAAAAATATTAAATAAAAACTTGGAATCGTAGGATAAGTGAAAGCTGATTTCTGGATGACTTCAGACTACGTCATCCAAACATGACAGAGGGTAACTATCTGGAATAGTGACCTCATTCACTTTACAGTGGTCTGTACACATTAGCAAACCTCCATCAACTTTCTTAACAAGGATGCACGGTGAAGCCCACGGACTAGATGACTCCTCCATTATTCCGTGTTCTAACAGAAGTTCTACCTCCTGCTGAAGTAACCTGTTTTTCAGGATTAGCTCTCTAGGGGGAGAGTTTAATAGGCTTAGCGTTTCCAGCATCTACATCATAATATTTCAGAGTACATTTTTTCAGGACGTCTGAAAATATATTAGGGTATGTTTATATGAGGGCAGTTAGACTTATTATTTGCATTTTAGACAGTCACATCATTAAAGGGCTAGGGTCCTTGTGGAGGACAGAATTAGGAAGCTTAAGTTGAAGTTCAGGAACTGTGTGCAAGGAATCAAGATCGTCTACAGAGGCAGAGGACACTCATTATTGGGACTTTATATGGACTATTAAATATTTTAATCTGATTGAGGTGGTAAGTTATACTTTTCGAGGGTTTATCAAGGGGAGCTACCACATAATTTATATCAGACATTACTTATGATTTGCATTGGTCCCATAAATCTTGCTTTTCTGTCATATATCTGTTTCGTAGTGCTTTGAGCAGATTTAAGTTAGCCTTAGCCAACTGACGGGCCACTTGCAACCTTGAAGAAGGGTTGTAGAGTGTTATGCAAGCATATTCTCCCATCCATCTTTCCTTGAGCACTCGCAGAGGACCTCGTATATGTGCCCGATGATCAGCTCAAATGGACTGTACAATGCTGATTCCTGCACTGTTTCTCTCATTGTGAACAACAACAGAGGAAGTGATTCATCTTAGTCATGGTTTTTAGCGTCTGATGAAATCTTTCCAAGGCGCCTTCGGACTGAGGATGATAAGCAGTGGATAATTTATGAATTATACCTAGCCTAGTTAAAGCTTCCCTAAAAGCTTTGGTTGTAAAGTTAGTATCCTGATCACTCTGAATAGACTTAGGAATGCCAAAATAAAATATAAATTTAGTTATGGCTTTAAGAATGGCTTTGGTTTTTATACTGCACATTAGGATTGCTTCTGGATAACAAGTAGCATTGTTCATGACAGTAAGTAAGTACTGGTTTCCTGACTTGGATTTTGGTAATTGTCCTAGACAGTCAATGATTAGTTCAGCAGACGGTTCTCCATCTGCAGGTATGGGATGAAGTGGCGCAGGTTTAATGGTGTGTTCAGGTTTACCTACTTGTTGACATTCCTAACAAGGACGGATGTTATTCTTCACATCTTGACTTATTTATGGCCAGAAAAAATCTTTCAAAATTCTATATAGAGTTTTCGTAATTCTTAAATGACCTCCTAAAGAGGAATTGTGGCTATGTTCAAAATTTGTGACCTAAATTTCTTAGGCACTACCAGTCTGTCTGATTTTCGGCTCCCCTCCCCCCTACCCCCTTACCAGTCTCTGTGCAGAGCAGTAGGTTGTGTTTAATTTTATATTTGACTGAGTGATCTAACTCTAGATCAGAGTCTTCCAAGGATGGGTCAGCATTCTCGACTAACATCCATTGGGATTTTTCCCGAGTTATGGTCAACATCGGAAAAGAATTAATCACTATAGGTTCTTGACATTTAGTCGAATTAAAAATGTTATTACCCAGCAATAACATGGCATCTTTCATATGGAATCCTTCAGAAACACCTACAGTCAAATATCCCATATAATATTTACTTACACATATGTATATTATATATAAAGGGACAGAAAATACAGCTCCTTCAAATGCTTGTAAGAAAACAGAGGAGCGCAATGACATTCTTTCAGAGGAGGAATATTCCCTCACTTATGAGGGAACAATAAGTCCCGATATCCCTAAGAGTTATTACTTCAATTTTTTTTCATTCTCCTGAAGGGATTTGTGGCATTTACTGTAGCATGGATCCATACTACACTCTTCTTCTTTCTGGTTCATCTTGAATGGAAGAATGTGGATTTTCCCTAATGGTTGGGGCTTAATTGGGCAGACTGACTTGACATGGCCGAGTTGATGACTACAGAAACAGGTTACCTCATATTTTACTTTGCTTCCCTGTTGATTTTGTGGCTGGCGCCACTCTGTGTACTGGTGTCGTTGGTCATCATGATGACCATAAGTTTGAGGTTATCATTCACCAGGTTGACCACAAGTTTTATGCCATGGCTCTCCAGACGACTTAGTTGGTTGGCGTCCTCCAGTCAGGGACTCGTCTCTCACGATCTCTATTCATGCCAGACTGTTGGGAAGAAAGATTAGATAGCTCGGACAAGAAGCAGTAAGCCTCTTGTAGTGGGAGATACCTCAATTTTGGTGTGTCATAGTTGCTTCAACCCTTATTTTGATACGAATAATGTCACAAAGCTTCACAACAGTGAGAGTTCGTTGGTATTCAATGCCAGTGGAATTAGCAATTATCCAGCAATGCTGTAGAGATAGTTTGGACAGATTTAGGAGAGTATACTCAGACACCAACCACCTGACTTTTATTGGTGGCATAACCCACTATAAAGTGCTGTTTGCAATACACACAGCAAGCAGCAATAGCAGAGTATGACTTGCGAGATATATACATTGTGGCAAGACTGACAGGCAATACAAAAGGCAATAGCGAGGCAATCTGAATGATACCAAGATTAGTTCTAGCTCCAGCTGCAGCTCCCGGACAAAGCTCTCATACTACGAACACAGGTAAGAATGACCTGTGAGACCTGATTGTAATGGGAAATGGAGCAAACAATACTCAACAGTAAACTATAAGGTGTATTTGCCTTCACCAGATGATATATAAAAGTATGTACACTATGTATGGATGGAATAGTAAGTGTACACGAAGGTGACAGATGGCAAAGCAGAAGCCATAGAGAGAGTGCACCGCAATCAACCAGCAGGCAGACAGTTCTGCCAACGCTATCTGCAAGTGAGCCACGTTGCTTCAGCTTTGGTGGGCTTGCTTGGGATTGGCCAATGAACCAAGGTACAGATTTGGTGGAAATAAATGGTATAAAATACCGACAAAATGGAAACGTAAACACAAATGCAGTATAATGTCATCCTTTATTGACAACGGTTCGCCCATGCAGTCACAAACAGATCTACCTGGGTGAAACATACATGAGTATTTATAGAATGAGAATGCTGGGTCAGACGGAGAAAGCTGCATGTGACAATCTTCCGAGTAGAGTGATAGAGTCTAAAAACTTGGGTAGCTTTTAAAAGAGATTGGAGAAGTATATGTGTAGACCTTCTGCAGCGTTCCTTGATTCTTATGTTCTCATGTGGGATAGCGATGAAGAAGTTTCTTGGCACTAGGTTCAGCTATGTTATAGAAGCCGTTGTTCTGGTTGAAGTTGTTAGATGCATAGATAAGTGATGATTCCAGGATTCTTCGGTATATTGAGTGTTGAATTCTCAGGCAGTAAGTCTTGCGTTTCTTTAGTTGAGTAAATGATTGTGTGAATTTCGGTGTTTAACACAGACATTCCTTGGATCTTCAGATCTGCCTGCGTACTATGTGTTCTGAAATGCGTGTTTGGAGGTCTCTGGATGTTTCGCCGACGTATAATTTGCTGCAATCATTACAAGGGATTGTATATATCCCTGCAGAGGATTAAAGCTTGTCCTGTCTATTATTGGTAATGTCCTTGATGGTGGTGGATGTGGAGGTAGATACTTGGAATTAGGTTTTAGAAAAGATGTTGGAAACGTATTTGGCAATGGAGTTGGTGGGAAGGACTATGTATCTCTTCCCGCCAGTGTCTTCTCTGGGTGTGTTGAAGATGTTTAATGCCCGTCGTCTGCAGTCTCTGATGAAGTGACGAGGATAGTGGAGTGTGGAAAATACTTGTTCAATTATAGTGCATTCTTCCTCAAGGAACTCATTGCTGCAGATTCTGAGTGCGCGCAGGAAGAAGCCTATAATTACACCACGTTTAGTTTTGGTGTTGTGGTTAGAGTAGAAGTGGAGAAGATCGTGTTTTTTGGTAGGTTTTCGATAGACTTTAAAACGAAGTTCATGGTCAGCTTTGCAGACCATGTTCTTCTCAACTTGTCGGTTTTTTTAAACCATTTATCACACGCTGGACTTCTGTTGCTTACACTTCTTGATATAAATCTGAATAATCTATTTGCCTTATTATGCACGCCTATGCATTACTGTCTTGGTTTAAGGTTGCTGCTTACCATAACCCCCAAGTCCAGAACTTTGTACTTATTTACATTAAACTGCATCTGCCACTTTTCTTACCACGAATTGAGTTTGTCTAAATCCTCATGAAGTTCTGTGACATCTACGTTCGAATCGATTATCCTACCTATCTTCGTGTCATCATTGAAGTTGCTCATATCATTAGCATTTCCTTCATCAAAGTCATTGATATATATTATAAACAACAATGGGCATGTTGATAAATTAGACACATGTGCAACTCTTGGGTATCTTTACTGAGGAAACGTTTCGCCCCACGGTGGCTTCATCAGTCCATACAAAGGAGAATCTTGAAGAACAAGAGGAGAATGAAGTAATCAGTCCCTCAACCTTGAGTCGATGTGGTCAGTCCATCAATCTTGAATAGAATACGGCATACGTGCAGAGAAGGAGCTTATAAACCGTATGGCAGGAGAGGTGCAGCAGTCGTAGGTGGTGTCACATTTGTCCAATGTGGAAGTAGGTCGTGACCAAGGGTTAGGCAAGTTGCAGTGCCTGACAGGTTTGTAGATGAATGGTTCAGAGAACCGACATGTTGATAAATTAGACACATGTGCAACTCTTGGGTATCTTTATTGAGGAAATGTTTCGCCACACAGTGGCTTCATTAGTCCATACAAAGGAGAATCTGTGTCTAATTTATCAACATGTCGGTTCTCTGAACCATTCATCTACAAACCTGTCAGGCACTGCAACTTGCCTAACCTTGGTCACGACCTACTTCCACATTGGACAAATGTGACACCACCTACGACTGCTGCACCTCTCCTGCCATACGGTTTATAAGCTCCTTCTCTGCACGTATGCCGTATTCTATTCAAGATTGATGGACTGACCACATCGACTCAAGGTTGAGGGACTGATTACCTCATTGTCCTCCTGTTCTTCAAGATTCTCCTTTGTATGGACTGATGAAGCCACCGTGTGGCGAAACGTTTCCTCAATAAAGATACCCAAGAATTGCACATGTGTCTAATTTATCAACATGTCGGTTCTCTGAATCATTCATCTACAAACAATGGGCATAAAACTGATTCCTGTGTAACGCCACTTGTTACATATCCCCACTCAGACTAAACCCCATTTATGCACACTCTCTGTTTCCTATTGGTGAGCCATGACTCGATCCGTAACAACACTTTTCCCCCAGTGCCATGAGCTGCTACTTTCTTTAACAGTCTCTGATGTGGTACTCTTTCATAAGCTTTACCAATATCCAAATAAACAATATTGAATTCTTTATCGTGATCAAAGGCCTCAAAACCTTTACTAAAGACCGTCAGTAAATTAGGCAAGAACGGCCCCTCGTGAATCCATGCTGAGTAACATTAATCAAATTATGCTTATCAAGATGGCTTCTTATAATATCAGCTATAACTGACTCTGAAGATTGAGACACTTATGCAGCATATGGGAATTTTTATTGAAGAAACGTTTCGCCACACAGTGGCTTCATCAGTCCAGTACAAAGCAAGAAAGTGTAAGGAGAGGAGGAGTTTGAGATAATCAGTCCCTCAGCCTGGAGTCGATGTGATCAGTCCATCAATATTAGTACTTTCTACAAGAGTGATGGACTGATCACATCGACTCCAGGCTGAGGGACTGATTACCTCAAACTCCTTCTCTCCTTACAACTTCCTGCTTTGTATTGGACTGATGAAGCCACTGTGTGGCGAAACGTTTCTTCAGTAAAGATCCTCATATGTTGCATAAGTGTCTCAATCTTCAACTTGTCGGTTTTCAAACCATTTATCACACATAATTGACCTATAATTGAGGTTAGGCTTATTGGGCGGTAATTTGACGGTAACGACTTGTCCCCTGTTTTAAAAACAGGAATTACTTTGGCTATCTTCCACATATCAGACACTACACCTGTTTGAAGAGATAAATTAAAATTATTAGTCAATGGTTCACAGAGTTCGACTTTGCATTCCTTAAGAACCCATGAATAAAGTTCATCAGGGCCTGGCCATTTATTTTGTTTCAGTCAGTCTACTTGTTTCCTAACCATTTCACTAGTGACTGTGATGTTACATACTTTATCGTCTTCACACCCACTGTAAAAACTAATTACTGGGATATTGTTAGTGTCTTCCAGTGTGAAAACCGAGAGAAAATAATTATTTAAAATCGAGCAAATTTCATTCTCCTTGTGAGTAAGACCTGCCTAGTATGGGCCAGCAGGCCTGCTGCAGTGATCGTCCTTTCTTATGTTCTTATGCTCTTACTACAAGTAAATGTATATGGTATACAGGCCTAGCTGACATCAATGACATACTACTATATAGAAAGTCCCTTGTTATGCTCTGCATTTCTGGCAAATTAAGTCAGTGTCCCAGGATGCGACCCACACCAGTCCCCAGTCCACTAACACCCAGGTACCCACTTTACTGATGGGGAACATAGACAACAGGAATAAAGAATCATGCCCAATGCTTCTACCCTGGCTGAGAATTGAACCCAGGCCCTAGCCGTGTGAAGCGAGAGCTTTACCCACCAGGCTTCATCATCTATGAAGTACTAGCAAAACTCCTTCTCAAAACCATGCCATCAACAAAATCCCTGGGGTATCTCAGTTTTGTGGCTATGCTAAATATCTTGTTGATTTCATCTTCTAAATACTCAGGACTGTCTCAGGAACATTGTAAGGAAAACACTCCTTTTGACCCTGATTCATGACTGGAATAATAACATTTATCTCCAAGGTACAACTGACATCAGTAAATGTAAAGTTAATTTGGTTGTATCTGCGCCAAATTACGTACATGTAAAAAATCCGGTCAGTACCTGTGAACTTCATGTACCTAATGTCTCATATTTGCGATGTAATTGAACGGTTTAGCAAACCGTTTAATTACCTCATGCCATATACAGCAACATCTTGGGATCTTGATACAGAGATTTCTTGAAAACATGTCTATCCTATAGACACGACTTCCACTAGTGGATTTGTCCACTGGTGAATCCGTCTACCACTGTTCTACCTCATCTGTCATCAGAATATAAGCCCAATCTACGCTGAACATGATGCAGTTTTGTCAAGATTGATGGATTGAATACATTGACTATGCGTGGCAAAACGTTTCCAGAATAGAGATACACAAATATTTGTCATCATCTCGGTTTTGTAAACCGTTTATTCTCATATGATTTTATATATTTATGCCCAGTAAGAACGTTTAATTGATTATAAATTTTTTTGGCAGATGCTTACGACGTGGTTGTTGTTTGTGGTTCATTCGCTCCAGGTCACATCCAAGTTGAAGGAATCAATGACCTGATCAATGTTGCAAAGCCGGGTGAGTCAACAAACATTGTCTAGTTAAAATGCGAAACAGATTCTTAGGAGTTCAGTAAATATAAAAAAATAAATTATGATAACTTCTAAAACATATAATATCCAACATCACTATGTTCTTAATGAGGATAATAACAACAGACATCATCTATTTTTAGTTAGAGTGAGAAAAACTTTAAAATATATTTTATGTATATATATAAATATATATATATATATATATATATATATATATATATATATATATATATATATATATATATATATATATATATATATATATATATATATATATTATATATATATATATATATGCAATAAGATCACAGTAAACAGGTGATTTCAGAATATGCAAACAACCACTCTGAAAGAATAGAGAAATTCCAAGCGCTTACACATTATCAAGGAACTATGAAAGTAAAGCATCCAAGGAAGGTATAAAAGGGGGTCTGGCCAACACCTCACTATCAGATCCCACAACGGTTAAACACCTGACGCACGCCGGCCCAAAGGACCTGTCCAGTTGGGCCGGCGTGCGTCAGGTGTTTAACCGTTGTGGGATTTGATAGTGAGGTGTTGGCCAGACCCCTTATATACCTTCCTTGGATGCTTTACTTTCATAGTTCCTTGATAATGTGAGTAGTCACGAAAGCGCTTGGAATTTCTCTGTTCTTTCAGAGTGGTTGTTTTGCATATATATATATATTTTATTATATATATATATATTATATATATATATATATATATATATATATATATATATATATATATATAATAATATATAATATATATATATATATATATATATATAAAATATATAAAATATATATATATATATATATATATAAATATTATTATATATACGATGGGGTCCACCTCTGGTGTAAATTGTGGGACCCATAGCCTCGGAAAAGTGGATATAAAGGCTTCAAAGAAGAATATTTGGATTTCTTCCTGAACTGTTTGAATATTCCACTTACCCTACCACCCCATCTTTTCATTTTTTTTTACCAATAGGAATATTTTATTACATAATATGGTACAGAAGATTTAAGAGATACATTTTTTATATAAAGGTGGCATATACGGTACATGTTGTTACGTGTGTATCACCGACTATAAGGCGAAAATCTCATCCAGGAACTTTTGGTCCTGGACTCCAATCTTGTCCCTAAGATGTTCAGGGAGAATCGCTGCTACAAGCCTTCTGGATGCAATACATGAGGACAGAAAAGCAGGAAGCGCAATCTGAGATGACTTGCGGACACCAATGCCTCCTAGTCTGACTGGAAGTGTAGCTTGGTTCCACTGCCCATCTAAGGTTAAGTACTTTCGTAAAAATCTGCCTCAGGATACTGTCATATTCGTGCAGTATAGGGTTATCATATGAAGGTGCACATCTTAGGAAATATGGCAACCTGGGCAGACTCAAGCACTTTGTGAGAAGGTACAAGGCATCGTTAGTGTCCAGATTGCCTATTCGTTGATCCATTCTCCTTAACTCTTCCAATTTCTTCCTGATAATTGTGTCAATGGCATTGCTTCCCAGAGGTGCTCCTAGCTAGACACTATTTGTGGGGGCAATGACTGTTGCTCCAGGCAGTTTTGATCTCACTGCGTTTATCACTTGTTGACTGACTGAGATGATTTCGCATTCGGATGGATTCAGGATGAGACCCATTTCCTGTCCCAGTGTCATTACCTGTGTAAGATCATCTAAGAGGGACTCCTTTGTACCTGCTAGTGTGCCATCATCTAGGAACCAGATGTTTAGCTCACTGGTCAATCTGACTGTGATTTCCCTAACTGCTATATAGAAGAGAAATGGTGCAAGAGGATCTCCTTGTTGGACGCCATCAGATGATGTGATTTCATGCTTTCCAAAGAGAAGCATTGATTCCTTGCTATACCCAGCTGAAACAAAAGGGAACGGGTAGAGTATGGCACGGGTTCCATGCTGCATCTGCACTACTTTCGGTGCTGAGGTCCTCTTGGGCACGGAGGGGGATTTCTGGCCCTTTCATTCCTCCCAGGAAATATCCCTCTCCGGTCCCTCCTTTTTTTTATTCTTTTTTTTATTTTTATTTTCTAAACTTTCTTTTTTTTTCTTGAAAACAAAAAGAAAGAAGTAACCTAACCATGGAGTCCCAAATCCATGACCCCGCTACCACCGGGCCCCTTATTGTTACTGCACCCAGTTCTGACCTCGCCTCATCTTTCGACCACTCTTTGGACACTCCTAAGGTCCCTGTACCTCTTGCTGGTGCTGTTTCGTCACCCACTTCAGGTGCCAGGGTTTCGACTGTCTCCATTGATTTGTCTGACCTCCGCTCTCCTTTGACTATGCTTCCGGCCTCTCCCTCTATGGTGCGGCAATTTTCGAATCGCTAGCCCGTCCCACGTCGGACCAACTCTGGTCCCACTTCTAAACGCCAACGACAATCTTATGATGATGTTACTTTGTTACCTTCCCATTCTACTCCGAAAAGACAGACACATCATGCACTCCCTCTCCACACTCAGTTTTGGACCACAAAATGGACTAAATTCTTTACTTTAAGACCGACTTCTTCTAAGCGCTCTTATGCCATGTTGGAAGAGATATTTCCTTTCATGCTCTTAAGAGTGGTATGCGCATCATCACTGTCCAGAATTCTACTCAAACTCATGATCTTTCTCTTCTTTCACATATCGATACTATTCCTATCACTATCGAAAAACATCATTCCCTCAATTCTTGTAGTGGTACTGTTATTCTACCCCATACCATAGTCCAACAGAATTTCCAGACATGTGGCAATGACATTCTCGAACAGCTGGAACTCCAAGATCTCCCAATTCTCAAGGTAGACACTTATGTTCTTCCTGCCCACGGGCGAAGACGATACCCTTGCAATGTGGCTCGTTTAACTTTTGACAGCTGTGAACTCCCATCCTCTGTTTATGTAGCAGGACATCGGTTAGAAGTTCAGAAAGTGATCCCTACACCGCAACAGTGTAGAAATTGCTGGCGATTTGGCCACCCAGCAAAATGTTGCAGATCTATAGCCGAATGCCCAGTCTGTGGTGCCCATGACCATTCTAACATGTCTTGCAGTCGACCTCCCTCTTGCCTTAATTGTTATGAGGTTCACCCTTCGTACTCTCGCCATTGCCAGGTCTACTTAAATGAGCGGGAAATTCGTTGCCTCAAAGAGGCAGAAGGTCTACCTTATGCTATAGCACTTTCTCATCTCCGCCTCCAAGGGAGACTACCCCGTGTTTCTTATTCTCGTGTTTCTAAACGTCCCCCCACTTCTGGGGTCCAGTCTTGTGCAGCCTCCTCTGAGGTTGCCAGTCCCATAGTCTCTCCTGTATCTAATTCTTTTGCTGGCCAGGGCTCAGACGTCCCTACTTCAACACCTCAGTTTGTCCTCACTTCTTCGTGTTCTCCCTCACAAACCCTGGTATCAACAAGACCTCGTACGACACCTTCTTCCAATCATCCTTCTACTTCTCAGAGGTCGAAAAACTCTCCTTTAACCCCTCCTTCCCTTCATCCACCACATTTTATCTTCCCAGTCTCTATACCTGGGTCTTTCCTTTTCACTGGCTCCGTTACAAGTGCGGAGGTTCATCCTCCACCTCGTAGTGTGCCTTCCTTCCCTGTCCCCTCTCAAGTTTCTTTCTCTTCTGCCACTTTCCAGGTTTCTGCCTCTTCTCTCCCCTCCCACACTTCTCCAGTTCTCTCCACCCTCTCGCCCCCCCCCCTACCTTGGTACAGTCCATTACACTTCCGAACTCTACTCAAACTCCTCCTCCTTCTTCCATCTCCAGTATTGTCTCCCATAGGACGTCTCTGAACTCCAAAACACTTGAATCAATCTCTGAATATATTGCAGAGACCAAACCATCAATGGACACTGATCCACCCTCTGTTCCTTCTCTCTCCTCTTCTCCATCTGTGCAACTACTTTCTTCACAGCGCACCGTTCCTTCGCTGCTCGAGCATTTTCCTTTGCCACTTGTTACAAAAAACGCGATTCTAAAAGCTTAGAGATCTCCAGTGAATACTAGAAAGGACTGCCCTTCTAGCATCCAGCCTGTTACTGGGTTTTCATAACAAGTAGTCAGTATCCTTGTCCAATTATCCATTAAAATTCAGTATTATTCAATAGTGCTTCAGGATTACAACTGGTAGGCTACTAACTAGAGAAATTAAAATTTAATAAATTTATTAAGTCTAGAGGTATATTATCAAAGTAAAATAAATCAAGCAATCAAAATAAAATCAATCCTCGAGTTCAATATTTTGTGCTGAAAGACATATCCATTTATAATTTTAAGTACCGTCTGGTACATTAACATTTAAAAAGGGTATTAAAAATATGTAAAGTAATGTGTATGTGTGTAAGTGCTCTAAGAGTTCCTAGTCCACATTTCGACTAAACTTAAACAATGACTGACAAAGTCCTCACTAAAACTAATTCTTGACCACATAAACCCAGAACATTTGCTTGAAAAAAAAAAAATGCAACCCCAATACCATAAAACAAGCGATGAGACCAATCAGATAAGGAAAGCAAAACAAACCTAAGTGGGGACTCAAAATCCTCCACAAGAGTTACAAAACCCCCTATACTGAATCAAAGTCCAGCTAGGAAAAACCTGACTGGAAAATACACAGAAACCATAAAAAATTAGGTCAAAAAGCATATTAAGGACCGAAGTTCAGAGTGTCTAAGCGACACAAAACCCAGTACAACGTCAAAAATCACTAAGTCTAAAATTTTGTAAACAAGTTCTACAGAAAAACAAGAATAATGAGACAAAACGTCCAACCCCCAAAGTAGCTAAAACAACTGAATACTTCACAGAGGTGGGGAAAACCCCCCCCTCGATCACGTGATAGCCCCGTGGACGCACGCTCAGAACCCGGGGCGTATAACGAGCGCAAGCGATAATTACAGTCGTTTGAACAACAAGCTTGAATGAGCACATTTTTGGTCACCCTAACAACAT